AGCAAAATGGGAGAGAAGTTCAAAGTTGCCGTTCAGGCATTGTGAAGTGAGGCAATTGACACGGTAAATAAAATCTTCTATAGCAATGTCGTTAGCTGAACCACTAAATTTAATACGCCAATTGGATATAATATTCGAAATTCTGTCTGGTCGATCCAGAGAGAGATCACTTCGATCACTGCGAAAATCTGGTGAATTCCTAGCCTGTTGAATGTTGTTTCGATCTGAGTTGGCATCGGAACCGTCTCGACTGAAATCTCGCTGCGGCTCACCTTGTCCATTATTGGCAAATGTGGACCTATTCAATTGTGTGAACGCCAAAGTTATTTGTTCTGTAACTGACTGCAGCATGTTAGCTTGGAAGGTCTGCATTGACTTCTGAATCAATTTTTCCACGTGATCTTCCGTTACCACCCTCGAGTCTGAGTTACCCTCGCTACGAATTTCCTGCAGTGAATTTTGCTCAGAACCACCGTTTTGCTTTGCCGCATTTCGCGACGCTGAACGTGTCTGTACCTTGTGTCCCTGAGATCTACTAAGAGGAGCCGAATGAGGTCCTACCTCGGGTTGAGAGAAAGTTTGGCCACACCTGGGGCATTTGTCGTTGTTCTTGCTATAATTGTCAAGGCAAAGCTTGTGGAAAGAATGCTTGCAACGGGCTTCAAGTAAATCCAGATTACACACTGGTCCGTTGCAGATGATGCAATTTGCAGACTCATCAGTCTGAAGATCTACTAAATTTTCATTGCTGTGTGTCAACATTTTTGACGCTTTTCGAAATATAAAACAAAAAAAACGAAATGAGATACGGTAAGATAAGATAAGATACGATATAACGAAAACAAACTGGTCGTTCGAGATGAATACGATATACGATAAATGAGAAATGCAGTTTAGGTCTTACCCTGGGTAGTATAGCAATTGGTTGTGTCATTCAATAGGTACAAATGTTGTAAACGGAATGTAAATAAAGGGTAGTAAAATAAATATCAATTTATTTTGTCTTACCAATTAGAAGAGTAACTAGCCGAATCTATCCAGCCAGATAAAATCTCGATCCTAACTGATAAGAAGGTAGTGTTTGAATATTGAAATCCTGGTATAGAACCGACTTTGAATCAGAACTATAATTCCAAGGAATCAATTACTCAAATTGGAATGTTCTTTTAACTATAATGTTCGATTATTACCGAACTGATAGAAAAAAAACAGTTAAAAGTATTACATTTCCTCCGGTATGGCTCCGAACCTATCCAGATGCCATCAATTCCAGGACAGAATTTGAAATACTAAACGGAAACTAGAAGTGGATGGTTTGAATATTAACGGGAAGCTCGGCTGTCAAACGACAGGTGCCTAATCAGGCATCGGGCTGGCCTTAACGTTTGGGCGCCAATTAATTATGTAACAAACACACTCACCGAGCGTTGTCCACCTCAACACGCTCTGTCTACTTTTTCTGCTCGGCAGGCTCAGGGAAAATGGGCGTGGGTTTTGTGTTGACATGAACAATGGTGCTACATAACTAATATTGTAGACAGAGATACTCTAGCTGGGGATATGGTAAATAATATGAATCAGACGAAGGAAGTGTACCTATTGAAGATGAGGCTCCGATGTTATTGGCCTCAATCTAAACCCTCCCAACCTGTGAAGTCCACTCAGGCTCCACCCTTATACAACCAATGCTCTACATCCCCTTAGGTGCCCAACAAGATATCAAATTAGTTCATTTTCAAAGTCATATAATTGCAGGCTGAGATAATATTGAAAGACATTTTCCTAAATCTAATCCTTAAGCCTAAGTTTACGTTATTTACGTTACGAGACCTCTTATTGAGTCAGTTTGTTTTAGATCCAATGAAAGGAAATAAAATTTAAGATAAGAAAGAACGCTTTTTCCTTTTTTTACGTTACATTAAATAGATTAACTTATTAATATTCTTTTAAATCAATTAATGAATTAAGATGTGCAAACTATTTCAGAAGTCTTGGCGAAATTATAAGGATGGGTTCAGTTTTATTTTGTTGTTTTGCGGCTAGGCCGTACTCACGCTTTCTCCATCGACGTCAGCAGGCCTGATGACTGGTGATGTGTAGCTGTATGTGTTTTAAGTTATTTGAGGGACAAAACGATATTATAATTGCCAAATCTCCCAAAAAAAATTGCTAAATTACGACCGAAAAGGTTTATAAGTACGAATTCTTAAATCAAAAGCTCCTATATGCAAAATTAATTATATTTTAGACACTATCATTCATGTTTATCCGCTCCTGGAGCAGAGTGTGGGCCGGATCAGCCACCAGCTCTCAATACGGATATGTAATGCTACTTCCGTCGTTCGCGCTGATGAAGATGACACGCACTATGTGCGACAGGGATGGCCGCAATCCCTTGCGTGAGGCGTGAGCGGAACGAGACCAGCCCGCCAAGGTGTGGATGCGGCAGAGCGCACGCGATGTGGCAAAGATGCACGGCGATGTGGCAAAGAACGATGTGGCCACGAAAAAAGACGCACGGTGATCCAATATGTGCACCGTGTGAGGGAACGGCGATCCAATATGCGCGCCGTGTGAGGGAACGGTGGCGCGTGAGCGAGGCGGTAAAGAAAATCCAAATCGAGGATCACCGCAATCGGCACGTGTATGGCCGCCGAAATGGGAAGCGCAGCCCCACGCTGTGCGTGCGAATGCTCCGATGACACGTGGCGTTGATCCCGCTGAGAAGCCACAGACAATGCCAACGATGAATGCCACAAATGACTGCCACCTCACGTGGTGGGCAATTGCTGGCAAAAACAATGCCGGTCGCTTGGACGACTCTGCCGATACGGCTGACGCTGTTTTGAAAAGGCAAAATTAGCACTCCGGCGATCGATTATTCACACAAGCTTACCAATATACGTTAGAGCACTAAATTTACTTAATATGGGTATGATTCGCTTTAACAAATACTGTCGGATCGACACGATGCTTGCGGATTTAGGACCGACAAAAATTAATCCGAACTCGGGGACGCCTTGTGAGAAAGAGAACGGAAGTGAGGGGATCCAATGTGACCGTGGCTTGCAAAAATCCTGTTCGCGAATTTTTGTGGTCTTTTTTAGGTCCTATCGCATATTAGCGATTTGGCAGGATCGTAACTTTAACAGCCCGGTTGTTTGAAAAATGTGGGCGATAAAACTTATCGAGTTGCCACACTGGCTCGATTCCCACAATATGAACCGTAGCTATGCAGCTATAAAAATTTCTTAATTAATTTAAAAAATTAAACACACATTTGAATCTAATTTTAATTAAATTGTAAGCCCTTCCAAGCCTTTTTCTTAAGCTCTTATCTCTCTCTTATGTAAGAAATACCAAGTCTATAAGCATTATATATTTTTATTCAAAAAAACGGATTCTATTTTTATACCCCATCAGGAGTTTTTCTTTCGGCCAAGCTTTTGCCAAGCAACCAACCCGTTTAAGATTTATTCCTGCTCCATCACAATGACGGGGCTTAAATGCTGCTACTACCTTCGGCAATGATAAACAAAAGGGAAGACTGTATAAAAAAGAAAACGGAAATCATTGCAATAAAAGAGCAAAGCGAAAGAGGGATTCAACATCAGAATCCAAGCGGCTTAGGGCCTGCCCGTACTGTACTGAGGCGATGCCACCCACTGGCAAGGATGCGGAGGAATTTTCAATCAAATCGCTCAAAGTGCGCATTTAGGCGCAAATAAACACTTAAACGCGCTCGCGCCTTTGATGGCTCAAACTTTTATGCGAAAGAAGCGGCCGCCGCCGATTTAGATTGGGAATAAGAATTGGAATGGGAATGAAAGTGGGAATGGGACTGAGAATGGAAATGGCAGCGTAATGACATCGTTAACGCATCGCATTTAATGGCGTCGTGGGAGGACTTCTTGCTAGTCAAAACAGTAAAAGTTATCAACATTAAGTTGAGCCGCACTTTAAAGCAAACACTGGAGGCGAATCCCATTCCCCCCCCTTTGATATTAACCTCATACTTTGCGGCTGGGAATTGTGGGTTAAGGGTTGGTGGTTTGGGATTGGTACTGGAGATTGGGGAGGTCCTCGGCCACCCTTGGGGGGTCTCGATTGCAGTGTTGGCCCATTGCCTGCCTACTTGCGGTTGGCCCCGATGCAAGTGGCTCAATCCGGATGGCGTTTATGAAACTGTCAAGGATGGGGGGCTGTCCTGATGATGATTAATGTGGGCCATGACAAAGCAAATGTTGTTGGCTGGGGTGCCACACAAAGGGGCTTCGGTTGAGTGCGGATCCTGGCAAGCTTTTTGATTAATACGCTTGCAATAAATCTGAATCTCACGAAAGTGTTTATAAACAGTGAAAAGCATAGTTGCGAGAGAGACATATAAATGGAGAGGAAGTCACTGGGCTGTCAACCCATTCGAAAGGATAACTATCAAAGTTATCCCTCTCTACGGTATTTATTAATCAAAATTTCCGTTGACATTCTGCTGATGAAGTTCTCTCTTCGTTTCTTCTTCGTTTTTCCTTCTGTTACAAATTTTACATTGAAGGACAGGTTGGGTTTAACAAGAGGGAAGTAATATTTGAATGATTTGCATCTCATAAATAATGGAATAAAATTGTTGGAAAAATTACAAGTTTGAAAGTTTTTCTGTATTTAAAAGTTGTGGGAAATATATAATACAGACGGTTTACGGTTGAGGTTCTTTAAGGTTTGTTTGAAATTAATTTAAGATTATTAATATCTCCTTCAATATTGACTTCAAGTAGCAGTATAAAAAGTATACATTTATTTTTCTAAGACCTTAAAGATGCAGCACACATAATGAAACCGTTCCAGGACATTCACCAAGACAAAATTTAAGAGTAAAGCGACTTCCCAGACAACATATATACATATACATAAAACAGGACAACACAACATGAGGTCACCCCTTGGGTTGTCCCCTCACAGGACGACAGAGGACGGAACACACACAACAGGATTGTGAGGCATACCAAAAGTAGCCGCCGCCGCTGCCAAGAGAGGCAGCCTAGTGGTCAGCCCGATATCAGCGTTCCCTCTTATCCGATGTTCACCGTGTCCCACCTGGACACCAGTGGGCAATCTCCGCACAGGGAACTTCGGCTTCGGTTTCGTTTTGCGGGCTCGCGGGGGTTGTGTGCTGGGAGCCACGTAAAGAGCTGCATGCGTTGCAAGTCATGCCCGATTTTTTGTTGGGATTTGGGTATTTGGGAATTGCGTTTCATTATGTTAGTATAAGCATTAAATCAAAATTCATGCCATGCTGGTTAAATCATAAGCATATAGCAAAAGCTCTCGAATACTTACGATCCTCGACGCACATGAGGCCATCGGCCATCAGCTTCAGACCCGTGGGGCAGGCGCAGGATATGCGTGGACTCCGCTCGTTAATCCTGGGCGCTGGCAGGCAGAGGTGGGAGCAGTGGCCATTGACCGATTGGCAGTGGTTAACGCCATCGGGCTGGCGGTACGGATGGTAAACGTGGACCACCATGGGATGTTGGAGCTAAAAGGAGAAAAGGTTGGACATTTAAAACGAGGAAATAAATAAGGAAAACTAATGACAATTAAAGTCAGTAAATAATATTTGTATGCTAATTAATAAGTAATTAAAATCGAAGGAAAAACTTACCATATGCACAGCTGTGACAGGCTCCACATCTTCTCCTGTAAACTTATTCGCCTTGAAGACTGCCTGCTTGTCCCAGTCGGTCCAGTAGACGTAGTCCTCAAAGGTGGTGATGGAGAAGGGGTGTCGCAGGTATTCACCAGAGTAGAGCACCTGACGGCGCTGAGAACCATCATAATTCGCCGACGAAATAATGTTCAGCTTGCCATCCACCCAGTACAGGCGCTTCCTCACCAAATCCAAGGTAATGCCATTGGGCCACTTGACATCGTAGCTAATGATGGTGGTGCGGTGGGAGCCATCCATGCCCGCCCTCTCGATGCGCGGCGATGCACCCCAGTCGGACCAGTACATCCAGCCCTCGATGGGGTCCAGGGCAATGGAGCGCGGAATGTCCAGCGAGTCCTCAACGAGCACCTTGCCCATGCTACCCTCGAAATTGGTTAGTTCAATGGTGCACTTGTGGGTGTCCGTGTAGTAGACATGATTGTAAATCCAATCCACCGCCAGACCATCCGAGGTAACCGAAGATTGCTTGAGCACCACGGTCTTCTCGCTGCCCTCGTCAATGGGTGCCTTGTATATGCTCTGCGTGGTCACATCGCTCCAGAAGATCATCCCCGTGCGGAACACGAAATCCAGGGCAGTGGCCGCCTTGGTACTGTTCACAATGGAGGTCATTTCCATGTGGTCCAGAGCTATCTTACGGATGTCGTGGCGTCTGGCCAACAGGAGAGAGGCATGACCCTCGCTGGCCTTGCATCTGGTGTGATTGCGGGGATCCCTCATGTAGCCCGCCTCGCACTCGCACTTGAAGCCTCCTATTTCGTTGACACATATCTGCGAGCACTTCCCGGGTGTTTCACACTCGTTGATGTCCTGGCAGTTCCGTTTGTCCGCCGACAACGTGTAGCCTTCGTGGCACTCGCAGCGGTGACCCACCATGAGGTCCACACAGTGGTGCATGCAACCACCGTTCTTCGAGGCGCACTCGTTGACACCACATTTGCCCGCCGGCTCATCCTCGCCATCGGCACAATCCTTCCGCTTATCGCAGACTTTGGAAAGGGGGATACACTGACCACCGCCGCAATCAAACTCACTGGTGGAGTTGCAGGCTCCCTGTTGGGATCCCAAGCTCAAGCTCAGTCCGCAATCCCGTTCGTCGCTGCCATCGGCACAGTCCTTGTCGCCGTTGCAGGTGAGGTGTCCGGGTATGCAGCTGCGATCCCCGCACTGGAACTGGTCCGCCCGGCAGGTCACGTTCTTGCAGTTGGCCGTGTGCTCGTCATCGCCATCTGGACAGTCACGGTCGCCATCGCAGAGCCAGCTGTGATGCAAACAGGTGATGCGGTCCTTGCACTGGTACTCATGTGGCAAGCAGGGCGTGGTCGTCTTGGTGACATTTGCACAGGCCTACAGGGGAGGAAAATAAATAATATATATTTTTAAGGAGTTTATACTTGAATAAAACTAAAAACAAAGTTGCTTACAGAATATGAAACTAAATATTTCTAGAATTTTAAAAACTATTTACTTTAAAACGCGGTTTAGCAAAGGCTTTTTTTCTTGTAGTTTCAAAGTGAAAAACAAAACCCAGTCCTCGGACAAAGTTTGCTGCCCTCACAGTTTCGGGAAAAACTTTTCGCTCTGAGGCAAAACTATGTCCCGGAAATTATGCAGCCCCTCTAAGCATGCAAAAATGCAATTTTACGCGTGCCCTGCGTTGACAACAAAAGCTGCCAAAGCTGGCAGGCGCTGAGTTATGCCCAACTTGGCCATAATTTATGTGGCTTAACCGAACACCGAAAAACGAACGCTAAAGAATGGGCGGGAATTTCCTTTATATTTTTTGTGTACCCCACCGGAAATGGGAATTTATGGCGTGTATTATTCACTCACCCGCTCATCGGAGCCGTCGGAGCAGTCCGGATCGCCGTCGCAGACCCAACGCTTGGCAATGCAGGCCCCGTTGGTGCAGGTGTGCTCCGCCACGTGGTCACAGGGCACCACCGGGCACTCCTTCTCATCGGATCCATCGCCGCAGTCATCGTCGTGATCGCATTTCCAACGCTTCTGGATGCAACGTCCGTTGCCGCAGGTAAACTCGTCGGAGCGACAGGTCTGGTCTGGGGAATTTATCAAGGATACTTAGGAACACACTCGCCACAGAAAGGAAGTTGCAAACAAATGAGGGTCGAACAAAAAAGGACAAAAGCGAAATGAAGTCGATGAGTTTGGGAGTTTCTGGGGGAATTTCAAATGACGAAGCAAAATGAAGTCAATGATGAGTTTGGAATCGAGTTTCTTGGGGAGTTTTAAGATGAGGGAGTTTAGAATTTATAATTTATTGAGGACTAAGGCAAACATAAATAAATATTAGAATTATGTTATTTCATTAAAGAGTTAAATTCAATAAACAAAACTCTTTTCTGTTTTCCAATAAATGAATTTTAAATACATTAAAGCATTGATTATCCGGAGGTTCGAGGTCACTCGGAGTCTTGGCCACAGCCAGCCGAAGACTGAGATGAATGGCAACTAAAAACCAAAAGCCAAATGAAGTGCGGTTGCCTCAATAGTTGGAATAAGTTAGCAATGATGTTTATTTGAGTCTGAGAGGTTGGATAAATGGGGTAAGCTCTGAATGAAGTTGGTTTGGAATGCAGCTACAAATGAATGGAAATTAAAAACTATTTGTATAAGCAAAGGAAACTCAACGGATACTGAAGCAATTTCTCTCTCAACTTAAGTAGAATTGAACTAAATAAATAAATACATTTTCAAAGGGGCCAGAGGGGAAGAGGGTAAAACATAAACGCAAATAAAAAGTAAGTGGTATTTAGTTTCACCTGAGTAAAGCCAAGACAAAATGTTTACGTAAAATACGTAACATAATTTAATCAACATCTTGTACAACAACATAAAAGAGTTCTTTGAAAACCCATTATATTTTAAACAAAAACTACAAAAGTTTAATTATTTTAAATTAAATTTCTCTACTCAAAAAAAAGGTGAAATCAATTCACTGATTATTCTTACTGCAGTTGTGCTCATCAGAGCCATCGCTGCAGTCCTTGCTCTGGTCGCACATCCAGGCCAAAGGCACACACTGTCCCTCTCCGCTTTTGCAGACGTATTCATCCGGCGAACAGGTGCGGGCTCCTATCGAAATTGATGAGCAGCATTTAAAAAAAAAAAAAAAACAATGGACGAGAGGAAAGAAAAAGCTTCGTGTTGAGCTGACATTGCTTTCAATGCATTACGCATACGCCATGTATTACCCACGGAGATATAACAATAAATTCATTTATTAGAGGAGGATTCCCTTTCCTATCCTTATACCGCTAAAAGGAAAATATTTCTAAATATTCCATCAGCCTGGGGGGACTCGTCTAGGGGTTACATATTGCAAAAACATCAACTGATTTTATGCAGCGACGCCCTTAAATACAGTGGAGCTTCTATATATATTTCAAGAAATATATATAAAAGTTGGTATAATTAAAAAAATATATATTAAGGTATAATATCAATAATTTAATACTTTCAAGTACAAAATCCTAGCAAAAATATATTTTGTTGAATCCATAAATTTATATATGTTTACTGTTTCTTTCATGGAAGTTCTACTGTAGTTTACCCGCGACAATGTCGAGGATATTGTGTCTGTGGGCGAGGATTAAGCGAATTTCATGCGATGTTGCCAGGCGCCATCGTTTTCGCCAGCTTCAGTTTCAGCGACAACGCGTCGTATACTTGTTGTCAAGGGCCGCCATGAATGAGTACACAATACACCCGCACACACACACAAATGAACACACATACTCCACACACACACACACACTTGTACTTGGTACTTGTGACTCTCGCTCTCAATGACTTGATTAAACTTCTGAGCATCGCGAGGGGCGGTAAATTGTTGCGAAAATTATGCAAGCGCCACTCCATTAAGGGTGCGTATGAGTTATGCGGCAAGTTGGTTAGTGAAAGCGATTACACAAGGGTGGCAGGGGGGAGGGGGTTGGCCGTTTATGGTTGTGGGTGGCTTTAGTAGTTTTTGGCTTACTGCAATGCGCCTCATCGGACTTGTCGCGGCAATCGTTGTTGCCATCGCAGAGCCAGCTCCGCGGAATGCACTGCTCGACGTTGCGGCATTTGAACTCATTGTTGGGACAGGCATTCACTAAACAGCACACACAGAATCGAAACGGTTAGCTTTGTGTCTCTCCGTGGGTGTACGAATATCCCCATAGATTGCATGGAGCTTTTCAGGTTGCTGTACTTACTGCACAATTCGGGGGTTTCGTCGGAGCCATCGGAACAATCGTGCTCCTGATCGCAACGCCATTTATTTGGTATGCAATTGCCATTGCCGCATCTAAACTGGTCCGTTGAGCAGGTGGCCTCTGCAAAGGAGAAATGGAAAGAGAATTTAAGTTAAATCGAATGACAATAGCTTTAAGATTTTAATAGAATTTAAAAGAATTGTATTAACTATCTAAAAACTTGTTTAATTTTATAGTTAATCCTTTGGGGATTATTTAGTTAATTGTTTTATAAGGCTTATAAATAAATAAACACAAATCCTCTATAATTTATATGTAATTGTTTATCAGTAGTCACTTTGAAAATGTTTTTACAATTTTTAAAAACCCCTTCTGATAGAGTTTCGTATTAAATCTTAATTTCTATTAATTTCTTTCACCAATAAAATGTAAATAAATAAATAAAAATATGTAATTAAATACTTTAAATATACAAAATATTTTCTACTGTATTATTATGACCACAGTTGTATGTTTGCCTGGCTTTGAAATCCCCCGGCGACCCGTATCAAAAACAAAAGCCAAGCAAACACACGAAAAAAAAGTAAATAGGGGGCCACTCAGAAATATACGCGTGTTTATGAATGCTTTTTCCTCTGCGTGTGTGTATACACACACACACACACACATCCAAACACATTTATTTACACGCACTTGAGCACGTGCTGAGCAGGGAAAATACACCATACAATATACGAGGGGAGAAACAAAAAGGACGCTGCTGCAATGGCTTTTCAATGCCACTCCAAGGGGCCAGCGAAAATGTGTCATTTTTTATACCGCGCGAACGCTCGTGTGCCCGGCTATAGTATATGGATACATGTGTGTACATATATAATACTATATGGCAATGACTGGTAATAGGATTAGTTGCTCTTTGAATCCGCCACGGACTTGTTGCTATGAAATGCCTTTATTCCGGCTCAACTGCCGGAAAAGCTAGTTGCGAAATACATACCATTGCATACTTCTTGGAGGGGCCTTGGCAATTAGAATTTTCCGTTTCCTTAGGTTTTATTTTGAATGGAAACTTTCAGTAGTCAGAGCACATTTCATAAAATTCTTGGGGCAATTTCTGGGCCATTTTTACGGCCAAGCATTTTGTTGTAAATGATTGGAACATGCCTTGTGGCCATACCAAATTGCTGCTGTTGATTATGCAAATCTTGGCTAGGAAAAGCCAAATTCTAGTGCCAATACCCTGTAACTTTTAATCAATTTTTATGCCCAGCATTTGCCGTCATATCAATAACATTTTATATGATTACTTTTCTAAACTTTTTATGGACGAGAATGAAATGTGGCATGAAAAAATGCTACGAGGCACACACAGTGCCTTTTTTTGTGTGAAAAACTTGCGCAAAACAAAACTTTGATGTGAGCCAATATTTGTTAAAAAATAAAAGAAGCAAAACAAAGGAGGCAAATATAAATACTCGCATTCAGTGAACAATAAAAAATTGGCCACATGTGTGACCCAAACAGGCGAAAATAAAATGTGTACGAACATGGGTCCCCATGATTGTCGATTCAATTTTATGTTATTCCCTCCTTTGCTCCCCGTTTTTGCTAATATGTGACATTATTTTCGGGAAAATAGCGCCCCGCGGACAAATTGCAAATTTTCGCTGATCTGAACGTATTAAAATTTGATGTCACCGTTGCCCCCAATTAAAAATCAAATTACAGGCACACTTTTTGTATACATGACATGACGGCGGTCTGAAAAGTTTCATTGATTGCATTTATGCAGACAACAAAAAATACGACAAAACTGCACATAAATAAAAACATAAAAGTTATGCTGTCATGCAGCGTTTTGCAGCATAATTTATTTTTTTAACTAAGTTTAAACGGCTTTTCAGTTGATTAAAAAACTTTGGCCTTTGGCAGTTGATGTTTCCGTGTGTTTTCCTCACGACACCGCGCTAGCTGCCTAGCTCTTTCCTCTTTTCCCAATTTGTATGCAAATGTTAAGCGGTGCTGGCGAAAATATTCTGTTGCATCGCTGCCAGGCCTCTGTGTATGCCAGCTGCAGGCGGATGATGTTGGGAAAAGCGGAAAATGGTTGAGAAGGGGAATGGGGGTAAGAACGGGATTTTTGTAAATCCAGATGATTGGGATTTCGGCATGTTTAATTTAAGTTAAAAGGTGTCGAAAACTTTCCGACCTGATAATAGTTAAAAGTTTTCCCTCCAACTTCCCACTAGTTTAACCGAGAATTTTGCCGCGTTTTGAGTTTACTTTCGGGTAAAGCTCTCGGGGTATTCGGGCTGGTAAAAGGACATGATAGCAGCACTAGAGAGTTAACAAAAAGTACTTAAGAAAGTGAAAAGCTCTTGAAAACCATGCCCAGGGAAAATCTGTAAGGCAATTTTTGGGAGGCAGTTTAAGAAAGTGAAATATATATTGTTTATTGAATAAAAAATAACTAAACAGAATATGTAAACTTAGCACGTAAGAAAATAAATAAAATATATATAAAATTTCAATTAAAAAACATTTTCATAATTTAAATCTTTTTGGAGCTATTGAATAATTAGTTTTAAAAATATTCCTTTAAAAAATGCATTCTCCCTTTTTATAAAAATTTGCATTCAAATATCAAAGTTGTATTTAAAAATTCAATAAACCCCTTTTTTAAGTAATTAAGTAAATTTTTAAATTATTTACAAAACAAATATTCATATTAGGAAAATCCTCAACAGCTCTTTATTTATTATCCAAAAATGCGCTTATTATACATTTATATTTTCCACAAAACTAAACTTTTAATAGGTCATCACTCAACCATTGTTACTGTTTGTTAATTGTTCCGAAAAAATCACTCAATTTAAAATATTGTTCACACAAATACAATTTAAATCTAGTCAAATTAACAACCATAATTATTTGCATACCATTTATGGTCAGAGCCCTTAAACTGTGGCTCTGCATTTGCAGCAAACTGGCAACGAAGATTAAACACCAAATGCGACCCATTTTGCGGGCGTTTTCCACAAGTAAATTCCACAAAGTCTTGTAATTTTTTTTGTAAGCAGCTAAAGTAAAGGAGATAGAGTTAGCCAAGATCCTTGATTACCACTAATAAATAAAGGCCAGCAGGCTGTGACAAAGTTCAATTTCTGGTTGACATATTCCAGCAGTTCAGCCAACTTGCACAAATTGATTGCATAATTTCCGCAAACAAAAACTGCCCTCGAGCAGCACAATTTCAAGTTCATTATGAGCGGACCACACAAAATACTGCTTACATTTATGTATATATATAAATTGTAAACATGATATTCCGTTTTTCGGGGTCAGACGGCGTGGGGTCGGAAAATGGCGGAAACCCATTTAATGTTCAACTAAATGATAAATGGCTGAAATGGCAAGTGCTGCTCTTGTTTGGAGTGGAAGTCAACCCCATCAACTGTCACCGATTGACTCTGCGGATAAGTCTGGCCGAGAAACGGTGACTTCCTCGAGAGCCAGGCCCCCCAGGATTTTGCTCGTCCTGCTGCTGGCGTTTCTTTGTCAGAGATAAGAATGAAATCTTGGCAACTCAGTCGTCTCCGTCTCAGTCCAATTAGCCTTTAATATTTTCACTTTATTTGTTTATTCTTTTGCGGCTCTTTGGCACACCACAATCACACACACTTGGCACACTTTGGACGCCTGGCTTACATTTAACGCACGTTTTTTCCCAGAGTCTGTGTCTGGGGCTTCCCCGTCTTTTTATATATATTTATAGATATATATATGCAAATGTTATCCCCTTAAACAGGAGGCAGTCCTTTCACTTTCGCACTCGACTTTCGCACTGTCATCCGTTTGGTTGAGAGGTTCGCCGCCAACTGAGTGCTTGGTGGCGGAGCGGCTATCCTTAAAAACAATTCCGCCCAAAGTGGCTTGCAGCCTCTGCAGCCTCCGTCGAGAGTTGAGTCTGAAAGCTTTTCCAGCGAGTCGAGTGCAAAATTGCGACGCAACTCGAGTGGAAAACCGAGGGGTAAACGAGTGGCTTTCGTATGAGCGAGTGTCCGAGTAGTCTGGGCCTTTGTTTTGAGTGGTAATTTGGAGGTACTCAAGGTTTTGAGTGAGAGCAAGGATCAAAGGACTAACTAAATACTAATGACTAAAATAATTCAATTTATATATTTATTTTTGTATATTTATTTAATAAAGATTTAATTTAGAAATTATGGCTTTATCTTAAGGCTATTTATATTTATCCCTTAAAAAGAGCTTTATTTATGATTTTTTTAAGATTATGCATATATTTTGATGATTTTATTGAACTAGAAGCTTTAATTATTTTTGTAAGCTAAAAAATCGAACTAAATAATTTAAACAGTAAGAAAAACCTTGATTAACCTTTTTATAACCCATCCCATTCTTACTGTGTCCTAAATATTTACCCATAACTAAAATATAAACTATTTTTAGCACAATATCAATGCATATTTTATGCAATTCCGCAGGAAATACGCAGAAAATAAAAACCCTGGCAAATCCCACATACTTATCGAAATTTCTCAAGTTCAGCTAAAATGAGCAGCTCCCCCAGCTCGCTTCGCCCCATCTCCGCCTCGCCTCATCTTCGCCTCATTATCAATTTCTCCACAGTGGATTTAATTAGCTTCGAGTTACATAAAGACATTGCGTTATGCGTCGCAGGAATCCCAAAATGGATGCACTCATTTCGAGTGCTCAGCTTTCGGTTGTCGGGCGATAAGGCGGCCAAAGCAGACGACCTCACATTGTTTCCTTTTACGATCTGAGATCGGGCTGCCTATATGGTCGCATCTATAAGTCGCAAAAGTCTCGTGCGGGGTGCGAGTGATAAAACAGCAGACAGCAGCGAATAATTGCTGATGCAACAGCGCTGCATGCCGCAGTCATCCAACTAAATGCGTTGCATTAATGTTTCAAAAGGGGCAAGTGGCGGGGCGAACGGAGATATAGTCCAAATGCTGCTGCCATGGCACACTTTTTGGTCACCAGACACAGCGACAATTGCGATGCGTAAATGTTGCAAACTAGTTTTAGCTTTGGTTTCCATTTCAGTTTCAGGTTTGAAGCAAACAAAAGGAAAACCAACTGCCGATTCGAGGGGGCACGACCAATAAAGCGGGACGCCACTGTTGACGTTCTATGGCCGCTGCAGCCTAAAAGTAGGCAACAGAAAGCGTGGGTCCCAAAGCAGAACGGAAATGGGAATTTTTTCAGTGATTCATTTGAAAATGGGGCTTATCAAAGGCAAGTTTTCATTTCGAGTTTACATTCAAGCTGGTCATTGAAAATTGAAATTTTAATATTTCGAAAATCTCTATTTTGGGGCTTCTGAAAATAGAAAATATACAAAGAATAAGCTCTATTTATGTGGGTTATGTATGTATTACTATTCAAGCTACACATTGCGAAATAATAATATAAATATATAATTATTATGTTAATTCACAAAATGCTTTTGATATTTGTTTAATAATAGGTTAAGTAGGGCAATGAATTAGATATTTTTCAACCAATTGTGTGACCGACATTTGCATTTAAATACAAGCAATAAATTGATTGAAACAAATAACTCACAACTACCGAACGAACTGTGATTTGAATTGATTAATAAATAAGTAATTAATATAATAAAAAAACCCATAAACCCTGCCAGTATTAACCTAGTTTCCCCTTTGTTATTCGCTGATACAATTCCTAAACTAAATAAAAAACACTCACCTATAAATTTACACTCCTTGACCTGTTCGTCGCTGTGATCCTTGCAGTCCGCATCGCCATCGCAGACAAATCGAATGGGTATGCAGTCACCGCTGTGGCACTGGAACTGCTTCTCATCGCACTTGGCTTCCAGGGCTTGGCCTGCAAATACAAACGGCATTGATTTAGTGGGGCAAGCAAACAAAACACAAATGCTTAAGGCTAATTATAACGACTCCATGTTATGGACTTAAGGGCTTTGCAGGAAAGGAAAGTTTTCTCATTAAAGGAGAAATAACAAAAGCTCAAATTGATTAGGGCTGAAAAACTTCAAAAACAATCAGCAGCAGCAGCAGCAGCAGTAGACACAGAGATATTTCTGCCATACACACACATGTGACAAGTCATTTGCATACTAAACGATAAACAAGAGGAGCAGAGAGGGGCTTTTAATCAACAGAAAAGCCTCAAACAAAATGGATCACAAAGTTTTTGGCCTCCTTCCGTTTTTTACATCGCCCCTTCGTTACGCCCTTGAAAATATGCAATAGACATATTCCAAACAAAACAAGGCATCACAGAGGGAGGACTTTTATACTGGGAGAAATTTTGAATACTTATTTTTGACATTCATACTTAAGGTTGAAGTTTAAATTTGCTGATAAATTTATGTAGGTTTCTTAAAACAAAGCATTAGATGCATTTTTTTAGAAGAATTTAAAGACCTCCAAATATTCAATATTTTCCCCAAGTGCACCAGAATGTCAACAGACTTGGGAACCTAATACAAATATGTGACAGGACCTAAAAAAAAATGTATGAATTTAATAGATGGCCATTGAGCAAACACAGAGAGAGTAAAATAGCGATAATAAAAGGAGGAGAGCGCCTGAAGTGGATAAGTAATTTTGAAAAGGGTTCTTCATATCCCGCCTGCCGTTGACAGCTCTGTTCGTTTGACCCATTCACAGGACCTCCGACTCCGTAGGCGATCCGTCACTCGTTTGCATATTTCAATGGCTCAATATTTTCCCATTCACAAGCATATATAATATATACATACATATGTGCCTACTTGCTAATTGCCGTAATTGAAGTTCGCAGGCTGAATCGAGTGCGTGTGGCAAAATAAACAAAGGGCCAAATCACCGATTGCCAGCCGTCAATCAATAAGGTCAAATCAATTCGATTTCGTGACGCCGCACTGGCTGCCCGGGAATTGTTTTCAATTATGCACGATGACAGTCAGCCAAATGGCGAATTATAATTCGGATCGTTGCATGCATTTATTTACGGGACAGATGTGGATATACATATATATATCTATAGTAGCTATCTGTGTGTGGTGTGTGTATAGTAGCCATTCAAGTTATTCCAGATGACGTCAAGAGTCGCAATAAATGGGTTTCTTTGCCTTATGCGGGGAATCGTATGAATGAAAATGTCCAAAAATAAATATTTGTTAGCCTTTCGGTGAAATGCTTTAAAATAGGCCAGCCAAAAATACTTGGGCTCCTCCGCATATAAATAGAAAAACTAATATGAATTATTTTGATTTTATAACCTTTATTTGGTATAAATTTAGTCGCCATAAGTTTGGGATTGATAAGGGTCTGTTAGCTGGAGGAGTTGGGTAAATATTTCTTTTTCTGGGAATTCCAAAAAAGCTAAATGTAAGGGTATGAAGAAATTTCATGCGGGTTTTGATGGCAATTCATCAGAAAAATATTATTAAATTTATTAAGAACTATTTTAAAGAAGGAAAATGAGAAAATTTAAAGTTTAATTACAAATAAAAGTGACTTTTAAAACTGTTTAAATATAATTTACTTCTTTAAATATTGACTAAGGCCATCAAGTAGCCTCTTTATATTTTTTCCCACTATCAATCATAATTTTTAAATGCTTATTTGCTAGGCCACGTGAGTTCAACTAACTTAATTGAACCAGTTAATGTTGATTATTGATCATAGAGTTTCCTTAATAAGCCTGACACACCCCGCCAACCAGTTTTATATCATAATCACAGCCAACAGATTGTCTGCCAGTTTAAACTTTAAAGCCAGACGCAGTCTGAGACTATGAATAAAAATATATAAAAAGCAAGAAAAAAACCTATCAAAAATAAAACTGCTTAGCATAACTAATGATTTCGATAAATGTAAAGGCGAAAACAAGTCGTCCACACGCAATCCGGTTGGCTTAACCCAATAAAATTCACTTTGAGAAACTGCAAGTCGTTGTCATCATCATCCGATTTTCACAGCCAATGGGTAACTGATCACAGCTATATAAATTTCATTCGAAAAACCACTGATAACTAATACCAGTTGAAATATTCTAGATACGTGGCTATCTCATGGTCACAGTAGACTCAGCAAACTGATAATTAATCATAATTCTGCTTTAAAATAAACATAAATTGATAACACACAAAAAAGTCTAGTCTTTAAATGTGAAATCAATAATCTAATTTCTTACCGATTAAGCAAATTAATACTAATTTTTATTTGAAAGCTATAGCTGACACTGATAAGCCCAGTGAATTGCGTCAAGATCAAGGTTAATGGATTACTTGATAATCAAGTCTGACTCAATGGGAATGACATAACACGTGATTCCTGGGGGATGATGAGATCAATAAAATATTGTTTTGGGCATTGAACATCACGTGTTACCCCACGAATTCCCCCCTAGAAATGTTGAAGCAATCAAAACATGTTTACTCTAAACAAACAAAACAATTAAAGTGCATCAGGCATCATATACTAGACGTAAGACAAACGATCACGCCCACTATTAATTTGTTATTGTTATTGTTGCGAGTTTCTGGCACAAACTAGTTTTATATGCTAGAAAGATCCGTTGGCAAGGCGAATAAAATAAAATCTAAATTCTAAATGGGGCGCACAAACAGAAATTAAATCAAGTTCTGTCTCTCTTGGGGCGACCTTGCCACATCCCATATATAACATATATACATATCAAGATATCAAGCATATGTTAATTTATATGACAGCATCTTTCACTCGGCGAACAAATCATGTGGAATTAACAATAAATCAGCAGAGAAAGAGCGATAGAGAAAAAACTTAAGAGTTGTTGAGATCTGAGAGACTGACAGACCGAGAGATAGTGTGCCATGTTACATCGCAAATCTATTGAGAAATAGGGGCTCGACTCTGTCTATAAATATGGTGCATTTTCTTAGTTCACAAACATGTTGATGAAGACCACGAAAATATTTTTAAATTTAGCTAGGACAACGCAGTTGGACAGCAGACAGATTTTCTGGACTACGTCAATATCTTTTAAAGAAAAATCAAGTCTCTGAAATGCGCCGTTTCTCTCACCGGGTTGGGGATGCTTTTCTGTCAACAATTTAATTTATTTAGACCAAAGTCCAAGATATCCCAGAGCAAAGTACAATATTTTCTAGGGGATATAGGTATTGTTTTTTAAAAAGATATTTGCAGTCTTATATAATGATTAATTGAGTTTTTCACAAGTACATTTTTAAAATCGGAATTTAGCTTTTGTTGGATATAAATATTTAAAAAATCTTGTGTGTTTAATGGTTTAAATATTTTAACAGTACTTTATAGAGGTTATTTGATTGATTTTTCAACTTTAATTTAACTTTCAATCATAATTATAAATTTAATGTGACATTTTTAGATTTTTAAATATGTTGTGTATTAATTTTCCTTTAATAAATTGCAAATAATTTTTTTATTTGTAAAATATTATTTCCAGAAATTAAATCTGCGTAATATTATTCTGTAATTATTTCGCTACGACCAATAATTACACCACAAAATCAGTTTGAATAACATTTGAAGGACTTATTATACCTTTCTCAAATCCCATTTTACTATCTTTCCATTCATTTTTTGATTTATATGCGGAAATTTTCTATTGTCTGACTGCCCTGCCCTTGGAGTGTGGCCACTCGAATCGCAAAAATCCCGGCCAATGAGAAATGCTTACAAAAACAAATTGTAAAAATTAACAATCGACCGATAAGATAATCCCCAGTTCAGGGACCAACGCAAATCCCTGTTGGCCAAAACAGTTGGCGGTGCCTGATTTAAAGTTAGATTTATGATTGGAATGCCCCGTGCCAGAAAACGTCATAGCCAGACGCCAGCCGTCGGGCATTATCTCGGAACTTTATAGGGAGATATAGAAATACGTTGGTCAAGTCGGGCGGAAATCAATTGCGGAAGTTGATAAACATTTTTTGGCTATTTCTAAACCACGGTAACCGGTGAGCCACTATCAATGGTTGTGTGTGTATTTGTTTGGATGCAACAAGTGGCAAATCACACTCTTTTAGCCATATCTGTGGCTATTGCTGTATCTGCATTTGTATCTATAGATGTACAGGTGTTTGTATCTGTATCTTTTTAACTGAAAACCCATTTCAAGTGCATTTTGGGTGAAGCCAAGCGAAGTCTGTTGAATGACGCGGCAATATGCTTGATGAAATACCCTTGATTGAAGGGTTTAACTGTTTTTAAATTGTTATTAAAGAATTTATGGGCGATATTTTAAGGAAACTTAAAGAATCTGCACTAGATTAAAGTAGATGTTTTGTTTATGCTTCAAAAAATAATTAAACAAAAACAATACATGGATTTTTAAAATTCTTAAATCTTAATAATATATTTCCTTATAACTCTTGTTATTTTTATTTATTAAAAATTGTTCTTTGAATAAAAAATCTATTTTTTAATAATCCCCTTTAGAGAGTATTCTAACTTCAATTTCCACCTGAGCATCACCTTCGTTTGTGGTCTAAAATTAGCACATGCTAAGCTAAAAACAAACTTTGCGCATTCTATTCTCCCGCAGCTCCCTCTGCCCCCTCCCGTTTCCCCTTTCCCTTTCTGGTTTGCTGGGGATCATGTTCATGTTCATGTTTTTTCTTCTAACTATTGCATCTCTCTCACCTGAGATGCAGATGGGTTCTCACCTATGCCGAGGGGTGTGCCGATCTTTCCGGAAACATTGAGGAACTTGAAGCTCATGTTGATGAAGGCCTTGCCATCGAGGAGTTTACTCAGAGAACCCCCTTCGTCCAGCGGTTGTGTGTTAACTGTTGTTGGTGCAGATGTGGGCGCTGCTGGTGTGGGTGTGGGCGTGGCAGTGCAACATTTGCCAAAGCCGATCATCAAAGTGAGCAGCAGGAGATTGAAGTTGGCGCAGGCGCAGCGGAACAGCTGTTCGGCGCGTCTCTTATCGCTGAGATTCGTGGAGATTCTTGTAGATTTGATGGATGATAACGCTGATGATTTTGTGGTATCACTATCACTGGCAGTGCTCATTGAGCGTGACTCTATGGCCATGGTATTGGTCTTTATAGAGATTATCTCGTTCTGTTCTTGTTTTTTGTTTTTTTATTGCATATATTCCTTTGATCTTACACGGTTTTTACACTAAAGGGTAGAGAAGGAGGAGGGGTGACCCTGGCCATTAGATTATCTAAGCAGGAAGCGTGGGAGCTTCTGGCGAGATTATCTAATCAGAGAAATGGCCAAAAAAATAAACGCAAAAAACATTGAAAAATCGCTTGCCAAGCAACGGAAAATAAAATAAATAAAAACAAGCGACAAATCCACAGCGGCTAATACTCTTTCATTTTTATCTTTGCAGCTCTCTTCGCATTTCACGAGAAGACCGAGCGACCGAACAAACTGGTTAAAAATCGTGCCGCGTTGCCGAAAAAACACACAGAAAACCGAAAAAAGATCCGCTAAAGCCGAAAAGCGAAAAATTAAAGCAAAAATATCGGACGAGAGCGAAACGCGAAACGCACAAAAATATACACAACAACGGCGACGAAGAAGCCAAAGCACTTCGGTCTGTTGACGTTGACAATCGAAATGAATAAAAGCTAAAGAAGAATTTGAATTTGCTAAAAGAGGGGGTGAGGCTACTGCCACGCCCCCCTCGATCGCGCCGATCACTCCGTTAATTAATTGAATATTGTTTTCGTGGATATTTTCAGGCTGGCACGCTTTTTATTTGCTCTGATAAATACCAATACTCGCGGGTGCCTTATCAGTTTTTGTTTTTATTTTGATTTATTTTTTGCGGGTTTTCTCAAGGCGGCACGTGCTCATAGCTTGATTTATTTATTGGCCATTTATTTATTGTTATAAATTATTGCTATTTCCCGCTTGTTTCATTTACATGCTCAATTGTTAAATTGTTTGTTTTGCTTCAAATAATTGTTTTTTGTTTAAAAATGTGGCTGCCCGTTTCAACGCGCCTTTTTCAACTGAATTCGTTTCGAGAATTGGCCTGCGAATTTAAGCGAATTGGCAGCGATTTCGATTCGAGAGCACAGAGAGTGTCCGATTTGCGCTTGTTTGATTGTATTTGTTTTTGCACCTCGTCTCAAGGTGGCCTTATCACAGCAACAAGAATGCGACCGGCCCGTCGAAGAGATAATCGAGGCAAAGAGCGAGAAGTGCTCCAAAGATCTTCGCTCTCTTCGAACAAGCGATGCTGCCGGCTGAGAGTTGGAGCTCTCTTTAGCCTTCAGAAGATTGCTCTTAAGGCAAACCTGTTGATCGCCGATCAATGGAGATTGATTTCGAACTGAATGGGGGAGAATTTCCAAAGGAAAGTGATTCAGGGATTTAACGTCTCAAGGAACTTAACTACCAATTTCCTAAAATTAAAGAAGCTACTACATTTTCCGTGGGAACTTTAAAAATATAAAGTTATGGCAAAAACCTATACAAATTCAAAGACTTATCTCCTTGATAAAACCATATTGAAACCATAAATCATATCAAAGACATGCGTCTGCCATATAAAGTCAATGAACCTAAAGATATCATTCCCATCTCACATAAAAAATCTACAAAATTAAGATATAAAATAATAATAAAAATATTTAAGCTATATTAATTGGGCCCCCATCACCATTTTTTATTTACTTATTAATCAGAGTTCCACGAAATATGTTGAATAAGTCTTGTCTAAGGCTCAGATAATTATTGTTTCATTACGCAGAAGTTTGCACTTAAAGTAAAATATATACCTTAATATACTTTTTGTACTTGAAGAGGGTAAATAGCCCGAGGAAACCAAAAAAGTACTCAAGTGTGAGCTTGACATTACATCGGATGTTAGCTTTTTTAATTATTTAGCAGGAATAGTCTTTGATAAGGTATAGGTAATTGCATTTAAAGTGCAGGAAAGTCATGGTGTAATTATACAATAAATTATTTAATTGGAAAAAGAAAGAGATGTTTAAACTTAGTAAATACTTTGTTTGAACCCTCAAAAGCGTACAAATCTTGAGATATCCTTAAATTTTTTCAAAGAATATAAGATCTTTTGATCCTTAGAGCTAAATAGTACCAACCTGAGCCGCAGGACATTGCCACAGAGACCACAAATAGCAGCAACTTGGAACCACATAGATCACTTTTACGCATTGTGTTGATAAAAAAGAGATATATATATATTTTTATATATATAACCGATTTTATCTAAAGCACGCGACTTCCCTTTTGCGTTGCCACCGCGTTTATCAATGCGCAAAAACGATATTTTTTAATTAAGGCCGGTCAGAGTCGGACAACCGGACGTGGAATCGTACGATAATCGCAACGTTTGGCATGGGCACCAACTATATAACCCAGGTGTTAAAGGGTGTATTATTTTAAATTTCTTGAGAAACGGCAGCGTTTAACCGTGCGATGCCCAGCGAAGACCGACGCGAACTGAATCGCCTGTGGTTATGGGTAACGGAATTGTGGCTCATTAGCATTGAAAGTGTCGCTGCTTTCAATCAAACACTAGGTGTCTGATTGAAATGTGAATTTCGAAATCGAATTGGAGTGAAGTGGATGGGATTTTATTGGATGGGATTAAATCAGGTTGAATGACGTTAACTGGACTGATAAGAGTCGGTCGAAAAGGCGGATAGCACGAGAGAAGGGGTCGGGTCATAGTGCCTCATCTTGGTGGCAATCATTAGCATCACACCGATACCGATACCAATGCCAAATGAAAATCTCAATCAAACTTGCAATCAAACACTCCCAATCACCGTTGCAATCGTTAGCCCGTCATCTGCATTTGTCGTTGCTTCCGTTGCCGCCACTCGAAAATGGGCATAATTTATGATTTGCGCGTGTAAATCATTTTTCAAGCACCACCCACCGCCGGGCTTGTGAATGACAGTTCTGTTGGCAACCCCCCTTTGGTCCCTCTTCTATCAGACGCCCCTGACTTTACGTTATTTGGCAGTATTTGCGGTTGCCGTTTCTAATTGCAGGCGAAGCGCTCACAAATCGCCTAATCAAGCACTTCAACTGACACTGCATTTTATCGCCCTGCAGCCGCCCCGTGTCGTGTGTTCAAGAGACGGGAAATCGGGCATTTAAATGCATATATATATACATACATATATTCAGAGGTTTGTCTTTTGTGTTTTTGGCAGGCGTCAAGGGCCTCGACTCGCTCATCTATCGATGATGGGCTCAATTGATAGAGGCTTTTTGAAAGCGCAGATAATGATCGGCGTTGTTTGTTCGCTCTAAGTGGCTCTGACTGTAATCGCTATTTTGGGATGACAAACGGGTCTGGTTGGGGGAGTTACACATCTAATATATTAACTTCTAGCCTCTAATTTATATTATAAAGTTTGCTTAATTCTGAATTCTATAGTTTCGCTGAGAAAAAGCGCCTTTTTAAACTTTGAAGTTACAAAAATCAAAAGTCTAATTAAAGGTTTACAATATACTTTAAAGATATTCTTTAAATGTGTAAATAATCATCTTAAGTTTATGTGAAATTTAATTTTAGTAATGACACTTCCAGGAATACAGGCACTACAGCGCAGTTACATGTCTCAAGTGATGATATATATATTTTTTAAAGGGTTTTATTCCAAATGCCTATCGATCGCATCTTAGCTTTCGCTACTTCGCATTTGAGGTAGGTCTTCTAGGAATTCCGTCTGTCTTCTTATTTGTTATTATTTGCACTGGCCACCGAGTTCAAGTATATTGTTTTAGTCCTTGACAAGTCCATTAGGTTTTTTTTTGCAATATATCTTTTCTTTATAGTTTGCAAGCACTTTCCGTTTGGTTTCGATCCATTCGATTGTCGACGCGATTGTAAATGTTGCATTTAAGTTTAGTTGCAAGCCGACTGGTTCTATTCGAGACCCTACGTAATAGGGGTGCATTAATTATCTATGAAGATTTATGCAAGTAATTATCATATTGTATATCGTTTGTGCAAACGCGTCAAAGGTAGGTTTGATAGGAAAATTTATATAGACTGTTTGTCTAGTCGGGAGCCATTTTCTATTATTTTTTGTATTGAAGATAAGTAGTCTTGAGTTATTTTTATTAAGATAAACATTAAGCAGTCACACATTCTTGTTTTGTTTAAAACATTTGTTTAAAATTAGGTTAATTTACTTTTTAAACTTTAAGTTTATGGTTAGTTTTATTGTATACAGTATATTCTGATGTTTTATTTGCTTTTATAAATAAAACTTTCATTTATTTAAAATTTTATATTTCATTAATTACTTTCTTATTTATTTATTTTTTTTTAATTTAGTGATCCTGATATAGTTTTCATATACTTTTTTTTTATATGAATAGTTCTTAGATTTGTGTTATTAGAATAAATTTTTATAAATTGCTTTTCTGAAATTAAACAAACACTTTACACTTTTTCGAACTCTCAAAACCACTAATGATCATTTCAATAAATTCTTCACTTTTATTATAACGGTAATAACAATAACAATGGCCGAATGCAATCCGTTTTCGAAAGTCGCGCTCGAATTGGGAAAAGTCTTCGAATCGGAATGTAAACAGCGAATGAATGAGCGAAGAAGTAACGGTAAATTTCACATGTGCGAAATGACAATAGAAGTCGCTGCCTCTGCTCAAGCCACTCTGCCGCCGTCGCTGTCGCTGCCTCTGCTGGCGTTGCAGTCGCAGTTTCCGCGGCGCATTAACAGTGTTTTTTCGCACCAACAGTTGCGGATGCTGGCTGTTAAAGCGCTGTCCAGGCACTTAACAGAGCATGTTGCGCAGCGTCGACGCTGGCGATATCGCTCATAAACGTCATTCAATGGCCATATCTTTATGAGAGTATGCGTGTGTGTGTGTGTGTGCTAGTGCTTTGGGGTGTGTGAGCCCAGCGAAGCGATGCTAAATATGAAAACATAAAAATTAATGTTATATTTATAGTGTGGCAGCAAAAGTTGCGGCAGGAGGCGTTGCGGTAGCTGCAGGGCAGTAGAATCAGCAGTAGTTACAACATCATCTGGAAGAAGTACACTGAAAAATAAGTCAAGAGAGTTATAGGAACTAAAGGGGATTATAATAAAATTTTAAAGAAAAAAAGTTGTGTTTCTGAACGATAATTTTGCATTTAAAAGATTCTATTA